GAACACAGTCCCATGGTCGAAGAAACCAAAGCTCTCTCTCCAAAACCACCTGTGCAACCATCCATTTGCTTCCTCAATTTGACAATCTCTACCCAGACCTTTCCCTTCAACAGAGAGGATGGAGGAGAACACCACTTGTGCTTCAAATTCTTTGATCCTTCTAGAAATGGGGGATTCCTGAGTTGGCCTTTTTTTTCTTCTAGAAGTTACATGCTGCCAGTTCTCTTCCTTGTCCTGTATTGACCTCTCTGGCTCTTCTGCCTGCCATGTCTGCAGGATTAAACGCTGCCTTCTATCAAGTAAGTCTTCATCCTCTTTGATTGAGCGTAGGGTCGATACTTGGACCTCTAGTCCTCTAATTTTTTCTTCCAAAATGGCAATCCGCTTGCACTTAGTGCAGATGAAATCCCTTCTTTCTTCCGGGAGGAAGACAAACATGGCACAAGCCATGCAGGTAACAACAGCAGACCTATCACTATCCATACCTGCTTTCCTAGATAAAAGATTTAAAATAATGGCAAGTATACCTCATCCCCTTCTCACTCCCCTTCCAAACTCCCTCTCAAAACTCCCTGTTTGCAATCACCTGGTTGCTGACTCACTCCTTTATAAAGCCTTGGACTGCCTGATAATCTCTCTCCCTGCTAAGGCTCAGCCAATCAGCAGAGACTTCTAGATTTCAAATCTTGATTAAAAGCCAACAGCTTCCAGCTGCCAGTCACAGAACACATTTCGTGGGAGTAGAGAGGGGAAAGAGGAAAAAAAAAAAACCACCACACTCACAAACAGACACAAGCTCAGCACACAGCAAGAAAGCCACAAATACAACACACACTTCACATAGCTACTTCCCTCAAGGGTCCTGTATTTGCTTCTCCTTCACCTGGAGAACTCCCTCTCAAAACTCACTGTTTGCAATCACCTGGTCACTGACTCACTCCTTTATAAAGCCTTGGCCTGACTGATAGTCCCTCCCCCTGCTAAGGCTCAGCCAATCATCAGAGGCTTCTAGATTTCAAACCTTGATTAGAAGCCAACAGCTTCCAGTTACAGTACACACTCTGTGGCGGGGGAGGAGGGGGAAGGAGGAAGAAGATAGGGGCACAATCCTAGTATTTGACCATCCTTTTACCTAAAAACACTGAGCAGGATTTTCAAAAACCTTCAGAATTAGTTTAACTCTTCTCGCACTGAAGTCAATGGGAGCAGACTTAGGCCAACGTTGAGTGCTTTTGAAAATCTTAACCAATATGTTGATTTCACTTAGCCAAGTTGGAGACTCTGTATTGCTGAAAAACAGAGACCTGGGGCTTTTCTTAAATTTTGGAAAACTCAATGCAATTTAAATATCTTTTAAAAATGTCCTAGAAAGGGGTTCTGAATAAAAGAAGCTGATAGGGATGAGCTTCTTTCTGTAAGAGAATGAGGGCTTGCTAGAGAACATATATTACTATCCAAAAAGAGTAGGGTAGAAAATTACAAGTTGGGACATCTCTTCTCATAGCCGGTACTATTGCTGTTCTGGCAGGAAAGGATCAGAGCCAGTGTTCCCTATAAGTTGTATATTTGGGTGGCCGCCCAGGACAGATTAAAATGCTACCCAGCTGATTAGCAGAGTGGCTACAGCTGCCTACGGTTGGCAGCATGTGTCACTATTGATGGTGAACATCCACATGCACATCAGTCTACATAACAAAATGTGTTAAAAAAAGAGCTAGATAGAGGTTAAGTCCATCTATGGGTAGGAATGGTGTCCCTAGCCTCTGTCTCAAAATGGATGACAGGAGAGGGATCACGTGAGGATTACCTGTTGTGTTCCCTCCCTCTGGGGCATCTGGTATTGGCCACTGATGACAGACAGGATAGTGGGCTAGGTGGATCTTTGGTCTGACCTAGTATGGCCATTCTTATGTTCTTATTCCACACATGGATGGAAAAAAAATAGAGGAAGCATTGATCAGAGCCCCAGAAATTCCTCAGTTGATCACTAGCTTCTTCTGCTTCTTTCACTTTAGATTCCCCTTCTTGGCAAGTGCTTATATCACCAATCTGAAAAGAGGGGGAGTTGTGTTCCTTCTTACTTAAATCCCTGCTTCTATTGAAATTGGTGGGAATATTTCCTGCTAGTTATTGGCTTATTCCGCAGGTCTCAGGCTGCAGTACAGCTGTTGGGTGGTGAAAGCACATACTGGTACAACTCCTAGCCCAGACATTTGCCAGTTATAATCGTTGTTCTAAATATTTAGATAGGATCAAAAATAGCTTGTTGATTAAAATCCTTCCTCTCTTCTCTTACCCCTTGAAGTGACATTCCTCTGAAAAGCAAGTATTTTGTCTGGTAAACAAAGATTCATAATCTATCACTTACAGTACTTTATTTTAAATTTGGAATTAAAAGAGGAGGCTATGCTGTTGTATTTAACCAGTTTAGCAAAAAAATTTAGGTTAGGATGATCTTGTTTTTCAAATTAGTCCTCTTCTAGTATGCCGCATCTATCAAGCTCACAGCGAATATCTACTACACTTGGATACAATTTTCACAACAGACAAAAGCAATCTGTTTGATCCACTATATGTTCCCAACTAACATTTGCTAAACTTGCATCCAACTGGGGTGTTTATCTTAAACCAGGAAATTAAACCTTAGCAAAATGTGCAATTTATACAGAATGCATGACAAATCAATACAGGGTTCACCGCTGACAATATTTTCCAATGATGTTAAAAGAAAAGCAGCGGATGTTTTTATCCAGAGTGTAGAATACAATGTCCTAGCTCCAGTGACAGTGATAAATTTTAACTGAAATCATGCCAGATTATAAATCCTCTTTGTATTTTTACCAGGTTACATAAAACAGGATAACCTGGCTAGGCTATGATTCTTTTTGTTATATGCAAGGATGTTGTTTTGTTCAGCTAGTTAGACAATCATACTTATCTCAGGAAAGCATAGGCTTTTTATGAAAAACAACTGATTGATAAATAAATAAATCTTGAAAAGAAGATATAAAATATTTGAATGTGAAACTGCAAATTATTGGTTAGTTTATTTATCTAAGATTACAAAATTGCATTTAGACTTCCATGTAGATCACCCATCTGTACTACATGCTCAGATACCACTGTGATGAGTGAAGTGCTGATAGATAATATAGACCGAATAGATGTCCATATTTTCCCTCATATATCAACAAGATATATCTTCAGAAACAAGCTCTGAGGCATCGGTGCTTCTGGTTTTAGCTTAAAGCTCCAAAAAGACTCAGTTCTTTCCTCCACAGTTAAGTTATTGCATATTTAGTTCTGAAAATGCTATGAAATTATTCCAATTCCTTGTTACAATAAAACAAAATAGTATATGTATGTTTTTGTAATTCTTTTTCATTCCCGGTCTCAGGAAGAATGTGACTTTTTGGGCAGCTTTGGAACAAAAAGCACAAAATGTTATAACACGTAAGTAATATAACTTTCCAAAATAAACTGAAGGTACTATACTTGAAAAAGTAGAGCTCTCATCTCTTATACATAAACCATATAATGCAATGGAAGAACCCAAAGCACACCAATACTGATCAACAGGGTCAGACCAATGGCTCAGCTAGCCTGATTCTGTGTGAGCGGTTGGTGTTATATACATGAGAGGGAATGAACAGAAGAGGGCAATCTATCTAGTGATCCATCCTCAGTTATCTAGTCCCAGTTTCTGGCAGACAAAAGGTTGAGGGATACTCAGAACATGAAGTTGCATCCCTGACTATGTTGGCTAACCACCACTGATGGATCTATCTTCTAATACTTTTTTAGAACCGAGTTATACTTTGCCTTCACAACATTGCCTGGCAATGAATTCCACAGATTAAGTGAGTGTTATGTGAAGAAGTACTTCCTTATACTGGTTTAAAGCTTACAGCCTATTAATTTCAATGGGTGATCCCTGGTTTTGTGTTATGTGAAGAAGTGAATAACACTTCCCTATCTAGTTTCTCCACTCCATTTTTGACTGCCACTGCACACTGAATTAGAGTTTTCAGAAAACGTATGCATGATGACACCAAGATCTCTTTCTGGGTGATAACAGCCAATTTAGACATCATCATTTTGCATGTATTATTGGGATAATTTTTTAAGGTGAATTATTTTGCATTTATCAACACTGAATTTCATCTGTGATATTATTGTACAGTCATTCTGGTTAGTGAAATCCCTTCTTAACTCTTCACAGTCAGCTTTGAACTTAACTACCTTGAGTCATTTAATATCATCTCCATATTTTGCCACCTCACTGTTCATTTCCTCGTCCAGATCATTTATGAATAAGTTGAACAGCACAAGTACCAGACTATCTCTCTTGTGAAAACGGACCATTTTTCCTACTCTTTGTTTCCCATCTTTTAACCAAGCTATATCTACACTGCACTTCTTTTCTGGAAAAAGATAAGCAAATTGCACTCTGCAATTTGTGTACCTTTTTCCCCATTCTTTTTTCAGAAGAGGCTTTCCTGAAATTTGGTCCATCTACATTGAGCCAAATTTCGGAAAAATCTTTTCTTTAGGAAGAGCTCGTCTTCCTTGTGAAACAAGGTGTGCAGGGCTTTCTGAAGAGTATGTCTGCTCTTCACACTGCCTGGACACGGCAGAGTTTTTCCAGGATACTGGATGTATCTCAGAAAAACTCTGTAGTGTAGACAGAGCCCCAGTTACTGATCCATGAGAAGATTTTTCCTTTCATCCCATGGCCACCTATTTTGATCAAGAGCCTTTGGTGAGGCACCATGTCAAAAGGCTTTCCAAAAGTTTAAATATACTATATCCACCCTAGTCAACATATTAATTGACATACTCAAAGCATGCGATAGACTGTTGAGTCATGACTTTCCTTTATAATAATGTATAAAAGCCATATACAATTTTACAAACTTCAGAAGTATACAAAGTGATAGGGTTCAGCCTTAGATTTTTGCAGCATAATATCAATAGAATAGATTTTTAAGATTGCTTACTTTGACTGGAGGAGAACTGGTGCGCTGTTCATCTGGTGATTGTCCCTCGTCTTCAGGTAGGGTTGGCATGGTGAAGAGAGATACGATGGACTGCAATGTGGACTAAAAAAGACCATGCACTGCTGGGAATGTCTGTTTCAAGTTAACCTCAAGGGATAAGCACTGAGAAGCCTTGTGATCCACACGACTATAGTATATGCCAAAAATACAAATCAAATCCATTTAAAATCTATGTTCAAAAACTGGGGATCACTTTATAACAACAAACAGTAATGAAGTTTAAAATTAAAATTATATTCCTTGCATTTTGTTAACTAAAATTTCAAAGATAGATATAACACAATAAATTATTTTAAAGAACAATCTTGTTTTTTATGCTTGGTTTTTTTTCCAGTTTCTTAAGAGACCTTTCAGACTTTCAACCCCCTGTATGATTTTTAGTGGTTTGGGTTTAACAAACTGGAATCTCCAAAGAACAAGCCTCAGCCAGCTTTCTAATCCTCTAACACTCATCAGAATCACATGCTTTCTTACGTAGATGTCTCCAGAATTGTTGGGGGAAAGAAGGAGGGAGGCTGATTTGAGAAATGGAGGTTCATTGGCTTTCAAACTATGCAGACAATCAGTCCATCATCACTTAAAATTCAGGAGATCAGAATAAAGTTGATGAACACCTTGAATACTGAATACCTGGCTCAGTTCAAAAGGGTTTGAGGAAACAACGAGTAGTCCTGTAGCTCCTTAGGGTATGTCTACACTACCACCCTAGTGGTATGTCTACACTACCACCCTACTTCGCACTACGACCCTTCATTTGCATCTTGCCGGGCGCCGCCATTTTTAAATGTCCGCTAGTTCGGACTCCGTGCACGCGGCACGGACTAGGTAGTTCAGATTAGGCTTCCTATTCTGAACTACCGGTACACCTCGGCGCCCGGCAAGATGCAAATGAAGGGTCGTAGTGCGAAGTAGGGTGGTAGTGTAGACATACCACTAGGGTGGTAGTGTAGACATACCCTAAGGAGCTACAGGACTACTCGTTGTTTCCTCAAACCCTTTTGAACTGAGCCAGGTATTCAGTATTCAAGGTGTTCATCAACTTTAGATGAGGAAATAGGTTTTGCCCATAAAAGCTCATGATGATATATACAGTATATTTGTTAGTTTCTAAGGTGCTACAGGACTATTCATTGCTTTTTTAAAGTTTCAGACTAAATAGCTACCCCTCTGAGACTAGTATTAAGGGTTCTGATCTGCCTGAGATGATGTCTTTCAGTGCAGGCATAAAATAGAACTCATGATCAGATAAAGCCATTGTAAACCCCATAGCCATTTTTGCAAGAGAAATTATACTTGCTTACCTAAATTCTCCATGCAGTTTCAACTGGAGAAAATATTCTTTACTTCCTGTCTTAAACTATTGAGCAGTGTTGACGATATTTAACTCCAAAAGTAGCTGAATTTTAGAGATGGTTAACTGTAATTCTTACATAAATCATTTGTGCAGCACTTTGGATCCATTTGGATGATAGGAATTATATGGTACTCAAGATCATATATTCTAACTTCTGCTTCAATGAAAAGACTTTCTGATGGATTTAAGGCAATAGAGTCTTCACAGTCTAAGAACATATTTCAAGGGGATTCTCTTACCTGTACTTTAAGAGGGTTTTTTTCTGCTTAAGAACACTGAAAAAATGTGGGGCATGTATTTTTAGCAATTTTAGGATTTTGAAGTTTCTGTGGTAAGTTACTTAACTTCTCATAGCTAATAGATCTCTTCCTATAAATCCAGGACAATCTGTGACATATTTTCCAGTAAGACCTATGCAAAGTAAAAAAAACCCAAAACCCAAGTATGCCTAATAAAGGTTGGCGGGATTATGATGATTCTATTTGCCTGTGATATGGTGGTAGCAAGAGGGAAAGAAAGCAACTGCTACTTTATTAGAGGAACAAAGTTAAACTGCACAATACTATACTTTTAAATTGTACTATATACATTTGTTAATGTAATTAGATAGAAATCTATAATTTCTATGTACTTGCTGATAGCAAGTACAATATTTTCATTATGTACTATCTATTCTCAGGCTAAGCGCCTGGTTTATTAGTAAAACAAAAAAAAGCAGTCACGTGGCACTTTAAAGACTAACAAGATGGTTTATTAGGTGATGAGCTTTCGTGGGGCAGACCCACTTCTTCAGATCATATTCTGAAAGCACATATTACTGTGAGCACAGAGCTGGAAGCCATCAACTTCTGTGTAATAGTCCTGTCTCTGGTCAAAGTTCAAAACTTTGTGGTTTTGAACTTGGACCAAATTTTCAAAAGCTTCCACTTATTTTGGATGCCTAAATTGGAGGTGTTAGAACTATTACCTTATATTAGAAATGATGTTCAGAGATATGAAGCAGCCATAACTCCAGAGGAAATCAGTGGAAGCTGTAGGTGCACCATGTCTCTAACAAAACAAAACAAAAACCAACAACTCCCCACAACCTTCAAAAGTCCAGACCCTGATGTCTCAAATTTAATGCAGTACCTAAACACTGAGATGCCTCAGATTAGTGAATGCTTAAAAATGTTGTCCCTTAATGTCTCTGCCTTAGCTTTTTCATCAGATAGGGGATGATAATACCTATTTCACATGGATATTGTCTTGGGTTACTTAATGTTTATAAAAAGTTCAAGATGAAAAATGCTATATATATATTAATTTCAGTGCTGTTCACTGTATATTGCAGCCATAATCTAAGCACTAAAACCTTACTGTGACCCCTGGTGGTCAGTCTAAGAACATGATTAGTAAAAAACATGAGTTTAATCTACCCACTGGCTGAGTTTAATCTACCCACTTCACACACTGCCTCACACAAAGGTCCTGCTTTAGACTTCCTTCCTAGACAGAATACAGGACTACAGTGACCTCATCCCAAAAGCAAATAACTACTATTGTATTGAAAAGAGGTGCTGGCTAGAGAGAACAAAAAGCAGATGGGTTTGGCATCAGTGCATGGGGTGTATAAGTAGGCCTACACTGCAGCTGGACAACCTTCCACAACTACACCAAAATAACTTTTGGAGTTAACAATTCAGATTTTTTGATGTATGATTTAAGGATTCTCTCAAATTAGCAAAGACCAACTGCTTAGTTACTCTGTTTCCATTAAAGTAGGGCAGATATGGTTTGCATACTAACTACATTCTTATTGTTCATTTCACTATGAAACTCTAAACAAATAACAGCTTGTTGGTACACTGATGTAAGATTCTTAATTTTTCTAGTGTAAACCTCATCCAGAAATCTGACAAAACAGAAACAGTATTTACTAGGCAGATGGGTAATTAATGTTTTCTCTGTTTAATTTATCTCCCAAGGTAGCAGCTACCTATTAACATTTATGTGCTGGTGAAAATTAGAGATATATTGTGGCTTAAATGTACATGTATTGTTTTGTTGGCTCTCAATATCACTAATAGGAGGCATAAGAGAGAAGAAATGAAGAACACTGAAATAGTTATGTGTATTAATGTCCTCTCAAAACATCTTAAGTAAATCACTGAATGAGGTGATATCATAGGCAAAATTTGCTGCTCAGTTTACTATTAAGGCAAAAGTTAAATACTGTATATTCATTTTCTGGCTGGTAAACAGCAGGTATGTTATGCCTGTGAGTGTTGGGAAGAAGAATCACCACCTACAGTTGTTGGTCAATACGTATCAAAGATAAAAAAAATAAGGAATAATAAAAATGTACAGATAAGCAAAGCAATAAAAATGCTGATTGAGCACTTAGTTTGAGGTAAGGTTATTTACGTTATGTATATGAACATAGGATATTAATGAAAGGGATTGCTGTTATAGAGTTTTAACTTTTTGAATTTCAAGATCTTCTACCAATAAATATTATTAGATGATATGCTCCCTTAATCTCCCACAGCTGTGAAAATTTAAATTGATAAATAGGAAAATATTGGTATTTTCAGTCAAAATGATAATAAATATAGGATTCTGCAAAGTCTACTCATTTTTTACCCTTAGTGGCAGATGCCTTTTACATGAACAACTAATTGTAAACTGTCATTTTACTAAGCAAAAAAGTTTTGGTCTGTTTTCATGAGACAGCAGGAAGAACTTGTCCATAAACAGCTTGATTTTCCCAGGCTGGCCTTCAAAACAGTTGCTGTGCTTGCTTTGGTGAATTATACTAACACTGGTGACAGGAGTCATAGCAGCAGCTACAAGTGTGTCACAGCTCTGCTGGTGTGCTTTAATGTAGTGCTCTTTGAAACAGTTCTAGGTTTAAGCACACTTTAGTGTATGAGTACCAATTAATGCAAAACATGTTATTGTCCTTTAGAAGTCATTAGTTGTAATAATGTAATGTAAACAGTGAATGTATAATGTAAACAACTCCTTATTTTTCATTTCTGGATACATAGGTTAAAAAAAATCCTGGCATCTGAGCAACCCCAGAACTTTGTGAAAATTTGGATCCAAAACATCTTTGCAGCTTGAGCACATAACTTTCCACAAGATGGATTCAATCCGTTCTTAGGTCACAAAGGAAAATGTTTTTGATTGTTTCACCTAATTTCAGTAGACATAGAAACACATCACATGTCATTTGGCATAGCTGACAGACAGGCTACTGTTGGGTACCTGGGACTGAAATATCAGAAATTATTTCAGGCCAAGACAGACTTGCACATGCTGCACCGCTAGAAGTGAAATCTTTCCTAGTTCCAGCTACCTTCTTAACCTAATATACTTTACTTTTATGAGCATATAATTCAAATAAAAAAAAGACAATGGTGCAATAATGGCAACTATTAAACACACCAGGGGTCTATCCCTAATTTTGATTTAATGGAACAATAACAGCCAAACCCACCCACCCACCATTGCATATAACACAGAGAAACAGATTCTGTGCTGTACCTCTCAGAGAGTACAGACCAGGGGACACAGTGGAACACAGATTAATTTAAGCCACCGTAGCAGTGCCTGGATTCTAGGTGCCTAGAGTCTTGAGAGGCCACTGGATGAAATTAGAGCCTGGGGGTATGTCTACACTACAAAGTTAATTCGAACTAACAGATGTTAGTTCAAATTAACTTTGATAGGCGCTACACATACAAACCGCTAGTTCAAACTTAATTCGAACTAGCGGAGCGCTTAATTCAAACTAGGTAAACCTCATTGTACGAGGACTAACGCCTAGTTCGAATTAGCTAGTTCGAATTAAGGGCTGTGTAGCCACTTAATTTGAACTAGTGGGAGGCTAGCCCTCCCCAGCTTGCCCTGGTGGCCACTCTGG